TCTAAACGAGAGTAATTATGCTTCATATAGGCCATGTGTTGAAGACTGCACTGTGACCTTGATAAGCCAGTTTTGGTTCAAAGACAAGTGACCGCATGATGCTACTTTTGTTTTTATTTTGTTTAATGAATGATATTTCTCATCCATCCAAGGTGTTCATCACATGAGGTTTTATTTTATAATGGTAATAATGAAAAATATGAATGGGATTTGAAGTGATGATAACTTAGAATAGTGGGTCATGAGCAATTATTCAATTTATGATGAATAAAGATTGACTATGTAGATCTAGAATGTAATGACTTTATCTGTCACTTGTCAATTCTTTCAGAGTAAACATCTATTCGAGTGTTAATAATTGCACATTTTTCACATTTATCGGTCACACTGTTGCCATAATTGACTTACAAGTAAAGGAAATATGGGGAGTTGAACTGAATGACTATGGAAATTAAGTTGGTTGCTTGAGATGCCATGAGAGTGAGTTCAAATATCTTATAGTTAAGAAGAGTTAGGTTTTAACTTTTATATCACAATCTTCAAGTGATTGCATCAATTTCAATTGAAACCTGGTGCTCATAATTAGTTATTTATCTCGCTATCAAAAAGTTAGTTTCTAATACCCTAATGAAGGCTCGGCAAAGATCTGGCTGTCTTTCTTTTTTAGCTCAGGAGTTGGATTCAAATGATGCTTCAATTCCAAAGAAATGAATTTTTCATATCTGTGCTACTTTCTGCTCCAACCCTTCTCTTGTTGGTTGTTCTTTTTAGACTTATTTCTCTTGTTTTTACTATCATTGTTCTTTACATTTGTATTGCAGGGTGGAGTATAAACAATTAGGTAGGCTGCGGGATGTTCTACCAAATGTTCCATTTGTTGGCTTAACGGCAACTGCTACTGAAAAGTAGGTTTTTGCATTTTTGAGATTGTGTATCCATATTGCATCTCTTTGTTCTAATCATTCTGGTTGCCCATAGCATTCTACTTTGTAAATCAATTGGTCATTAGTTGAAGGAGGCAGGGAACTATGCATTTTAAGTTACATTCTGGCCCTTTGGTTCTGCAAATTATGTTTTTGTTGAAAAATCCACAACCTTTTCAATATTCTACTACATGTAAAACTTTTCACGAGGTCTTAATCTTATGTTATGGGATCAGTTTAACATATTAATGACAGTAGTTTCTTGTTCAGGTAGTTCTCAGATATTGCAACTATTTTTTGCCCTTTCGTCCATCTCTTGTTCCCAGTGTTACTTTTCTATCCTAATTTTAAGCGAGTTCAGTTCAGAATCTGTGTAAATTCATAAATCATTAATCATGTTTCCCGTCCTAGTTTTAATTTGTCCTATAATCTATCGGCTCAGATTTTCTTTTTCACTATGGTTTTGCTTTCATATAAAATTTAGTCTTATAGAACCTTTGAAGAGACTTTGTTTTTTCCAGGGTTCGCACTGACATTATAAATTCACTGAAGATGAAAAATCCTCATGTAACTATTGGCTCATTTGATCGTCAAAATCTCTTCTATGGTGTTAAATATTCCAACCGCAGTTCAGCTTTTGTTGATGAGCTTGTGAAGGAGATTTCTAAATATACAAGCAGCAGAAATTCGACTATAGTATACTGTACAACTGTCAAAGATGCTGAACAGGTTATTATTACTTCTAGATTTGTACATCTTATATCCTTGTTTCTCAAATGTAAGCATGCACGTGGATTTTACCCAAATGCCAATCATTTCATCTATGACATGGTCTTCTAGCAATATGTAGAAAAACATATATTCATGATGAGATGTTCTGACTTTAGTTATTGAAATTGTGATTCTTTAGATTTTCAAGTTCCTTCACAAGGATGGAATTGATGCTGGAATCTACCATGGCCAAATGTCTAATAAAGCACGTGAGGAGTCACACAGGTTTTACTATTCACTAGATTTTATGTTTTTCATTTATTCCCTGAATATTTCTTCTTGGATTGAAAATTTTTTTTTGTTTAGTTTATTTTGTCAAAGGATGTATAATGGTATGTGCCCTTCACTATTCTTGGTGAAATTACTGTTTACGTGGCCAGACTGGCAAATGAAATTTTGATGCATTTTCAGGGCATTCATCAGAGATGAAGTTTATGTCATGGTTGCAACTATAGCATTTGGCATGGGTATTGACAAGCCTAACGTTAGACATGTGATAAACTATGGCTGCCCAAAGAGTTTGGAATCATATTACCAGGAAAGTGGACGATGTGGTAGAGATGGCATTCCTTCAACCTGCTTGCTGTATTATGCAAGAAGCGACTTTGGGAAAGCCGATTTTTACTGTTCAGAAGCACGCACAGTATGTTTTTTTCTTTTCTTGATCTCCTTAGAGTTTCATATATTAAAGATTTTGTTTAGTAATTCCCAGCATTTATTAATCTCTTTAGGTTGCTTTCATATTGCTTAAATGTCTGGTACATGTATGATACTACCAGGCAGAGCAAAGACAAGCAATTATGGAGTCATTCATGGCAGCACAACGCTATTGTTCGCTGACAACTTGTCGAAGAAAGTATCTTCTGGAGTACTTCGGAGAGAAATACGGCTCTGTCAATTGTGGTATGGGCAACATTTGACCTTTAAAGTATCAAGTGTAGCAAGGCAATATCTGAACTATAATTGATTGAGAAAGCATGACAATGTTGCATTTAAAATGTAAATCATTGATGATAAGATAAGAGTGGTACAAAGCAGATTACATTTATTAAATCAACGCAAGGCTCAGTACAACATATTAGTATCTGAGAAAGAGATGAATAAACAAGAGAAAGGGTGTAGAATGTAGATAACAATGGTACAGGAAGTCATGTAGAGTATAGCTCATTTTTTGATGTCTACATGCATTCCATTTAATGGTCAAAGTTTTGCTTCCTTTTGGACAAAATATTTTCTGGTCATTGTCACATCTTGCCATTAACATTTAACCAAGTGGAAATATTATTATTGTATGCTTGTGATGGCATTTATTATGAAGACTGGAAATTTCTCTTCAAGCTTTTATATTTTTTATGGTTCCCACGTTTCCGATTAGAAGCGATAGAAGCAGAAATACCCATGTGTTTTGGCTTATTTCCTGGTTGATTTCTTTGCATTTGGTCACATGAGTCAAGCTTTGGCCATTGGTTTCATCAGGTTGCCTTCATTTCATTTTAAATTGGTCTAAGAAAATCTATTTTCAGGCACTAACAGATTGAGATGATGATCTTTTCTCCTATCGGAAGTTATCATGGGGAAATATGTTGTTTAAAGCTTTTATTTTTGGTCAACGATAATACTTTATGCACTTCATGCCCAAAACAGATGTGAGAAGGAAGAAGGAAAATTTTGGCAAGAAAATTTTGGTCTTTGGACCTTGGTTTTTTAAGGTTCTATATTGTTAATTTTGTCTATAATTTAAGTCACAGTATTCCAGAAATTATCCTTTGAATTACCTTGATACCAGAAGTAGCCAAATGTGTGATGTGTGCAGGAACTTGTGATAATTGCACTAGCTCAAAGAATAAGAGCGATATGTCTCGAGAGGCATTTCTTTTAATCGCTTGCATTAAAGCATGTGGAGGTCACTGGGGTCTCAACCTGCCATTAGATGTTCTTCGTGGATCTCGAGTAAGCTTTCTTATGAAAATTAATGATACTGTGTAGATATTCTTCCATGGCATGTATAGGAACCAAGGTTGTTATACAAGTAATTAGATAATAGTAATAAGGTTAGATGGGTGACTACACAAATTTTTGTTAGAAATGATGAATTGACTTTCTTTGTTCTGAACAAGTGGCTTTGGTATTGTATTATAAATTTCGGAGGCTTTGGAAAATGAAGTTAATACCACAGTTACGTCTACTACTTAATCTATTTACTGATCTTGTGGTTTAGTCATTGCAAATTTACACTACCACCTTTTATTTGGTCACAGTCCAAGAAAATTCTTGATGCTCAGTTTGATAAGCTTCCGTTCCATGGCCTCGGAAAAGAGATGCCAGCAAATTGGTGGAAGGCTCTAGCTGATCAGTTGATTTCATGTGGTATGTGAGAGTACTTTCTTTGTATCAAGGATCTGTGTTTATGGATGTTTTTCACTCTACTAAGAAGGAAGAAGTGAAGTAAATACCACATTGCATCCATTAAGGGAGCAATCAAAACAACCATATTGTACTGTTGATCTGTGCTTATTATCATTATATTCCAGGTCAATGAGGTTAAGCAAATATGAATGCCAATAGAGAGACCTGGAGTATTTTAATAGCTTCAATATTCAGCCAGCGATCTCAATACAGTCTAAGAGTAAATTCAGTGGTTAGCCCTATGAGTTTTGGAGTGTAGACAAAAAATCTATGGAGACAAATATTTTATTGGGTCATTGATCTTTTACAGACGTTGCTGAAAAAATGAATTTTGTTTATATAAATATTTTGTGCACTTAAAAATGATTTTATTTGATTACATAACATTGAATTGAAACTTTACCTTTTCTAATTCTGGTCTAACATCTTATGAAAAATATCAGCTGCTAGCTCTATTCTATTGGATTCACAGCTGAAACTGCACAACAACTGAAATATTGTGTGTATATTTTATGAAGCCAAACCAAAACTAAGGGCCTGTTGCTTCTAAGAGAAAGTAAAATTCAGAACCTCTGAATTATAGTGCCTACTTTAAGGAAGGAAATTTGCACATGTCATGCGTCCTATCCTTCTATTATGCTCTGTACTAGGATGCCGTCTGGAAGCAGTGACATTGGAATACCTTTCCCTTTTGTTTTCTTTGATTGTATGGATAGAAATTACTTCCATTTCTTTCCATTCAAATTATAGTTTTGGACAGTTAATGACTATTTTGCGCTGTGTGCAGATTATTTGGTGGAGACCTTCAGAGATGTGTTCAAAACTGTAAGGTAGAGTTCTTTATCCGACTAGTATATGAGTTTTGAGCTGTAAAAATATACTGTTCTCTGTCTCACACACTCCCATTCTGACACACAGCCCATTTGACTTGGTAGTAGCCTCCAAGCCCACCACTTGCTACGTGCAGTATGGCCTAAATCCACTTCCAAAAAGCTGTACTAATGGCCTGATGTGGGCTCTTAACATAAGCTTATAATTTCCGTAATCCATCCGTGTTATGTTCAAGTTGAAATCACACCTCCTAAGGATGCACGTCATTGTTGCATATAGCATAGCAATTTGTCCCGCATAATACTCAGTTTCCAACTTCTGATTGGCATCCAGTTGTTTATTATATGTCACTCCCTGGACCCATGATCTGTTGTACTTGGTAGCACGGCATCCCATCAAATGCAACATGCAATTAGGCCTAAAATCCATTGCCCATAAGTGGTATAATGGTTGTCATGAGATATAAAGCCAACTTATAAGTTGTTCGTGTTTTATATAATTCACTAATGTGGGATACAAGTTCAGATGTCAGACCTCTCTCTTATAACCTCTTCAGTTTTCCTTTATCAGCCTGTCATCTGCCTCATTTTATTGCCTGCAATAAACTGAGCCAAGGAAGACTTTCACAGGGCAAGTCTAATTCATTGGTTTTTGTGATGAGATCAAAATGTTCTTTCACATTCATTAGTTGTCTCTACATGAACAAATTAACACCAAAAGCTCATATTTGTCCAAAATATCAGTAGGTGAATATTATTTGTAAGAGATAAATCGTGTCATTTCATATTAGGATGAAAGGTTAAAAGAATGTGAATTTTCAAGATTTATTTGCTCCAGGATACGAAGTATGAATTTACGCAAATCAGAAATGTAGAATTCTCAAAATACTAGCTCATTTGGTAAATAAACTGACATGGGCAAGCCAAAACCTGTGCTTTTCATGAACGATAATAAAACATCAATATTGGACATTCTCTTTTGCAGCCAATTTAATAAGATTCTGATGTAAATAAATTTGAATTGTGATTTTCCTTTCATGCTTCAGTGTTGGACCCAAAGGAGTCGACTTCTTGAATTCTTGCAGTCCTGATCATCAGCCTCCGTTATATCTGCCATCACCTTCAGAAATAATTGGTGATGTGAAAGTCACAGATGTAGTTGGTGAGGCTGGGGTTGATGGTTTGACTCCTCTAAAATTCGAGTGGTTGTCCCAGGTGGGATATGCTACCATCCTAAGCATCTTCTGCATGTGAATTAACGGATGCCATGCACTTCTATTTAAATTTTTACCTTCTGATGTGTCTTTTGTCGTCTTCAACAATTTAACTTTGGCCAAAACCCGTAATGTTTTGACTTTATGCTTACATGTTCAGGAAGAGGCACAGTTCTATAAAATGCTTGTAGAAGAGAGAATGAAGATAGCAAAAAAAACTGGAACTGCTCCGTGAGTCTCTTTATTTTGTCATTGTTCTTAGAGCTGCTACTCCCTGTATCACATAACGCAATCATATTGGTTTTTTTGGGTCAATTCCACCCCCTTTTTGAAGTGCAATTAATCTTAATATGATATTTATCAGAGATGAACACTTGAAAATTTGTTAACACAGGAACCTGCATGCTAATTGCCAAGTTTTATTTCTTAGATTTGAGTGTAGCAAGATTATTTCACCTCAAAATGTAGTCAAGTTGGTATGAGAAGTCAACCTGGGACAATAGTGTGACAGGATTATATTCTAATGGCGAGCCACCTGTATGATTGCACCATACAATTGTATTTTTGAGGAAATGCAAGGCTGTCTATTGATCTGTTTTAGCTTGCAGATATGCAATATGTGGTGATCAAACATTAAGAAGGATAGCATTGACAAGGCCGTCAAGTCGAGCAAGGCTAGCAAATATAGATGGTGTGAACCAGGTATAACTTATGTACCTAATAGTCATGTTTCTTGGTCCACTCTAGTTTAGCTTGACAGGAACTTTTATATGCTTGGAATATGCTCACTTTGTACATTTCAATGGTCCAGTTGGGTTTATACCTTAATTAATAAATGCTGATTTTATTCTCTTTGATTGCATCTACTAAATTTTTCATTTCCTGTATAGAGAATGATCACATTTTGATAGTACAGATGTTTGGGTTGTTCTAGCTCTCTTATACATAGAATCTTAGACAAAAAAGAGTTAGTGCCTGTTTTTGTACGTGGTGTTTTCCATTATTGGATGTTATTAATAAGCCCTAATATCCAAGCTCGTGACGGAGAGGGACATAATGTCTTACCTCTAGAGTCTAGATGAAGGAAAATTATAATTATATTGAAATTGAAGTTGACTGCATCTCTGCTATGAGTTACCTTATCTCACTCAGATTAGTTGGAGCAGGTTCCTCTTTCTCCTTTGATAGTCTGTGAAGTAATAATAAGATGACTTCATATTGTTCTTGTAGTGCATCATCTTCAAACTTTAAGGAAAAAAATACATTGTTTGCTATCAGTACCAGAGCATTCATTCTAAACAGAAAAATCTTGAAGATCTTTCAATTTTTACAAATGAGGGTTGGGTTTCAGGAATCAGATTGGTAAGATGGCTGATACTAAGCTTCATGAAACTTCTAAGTTAGCCCTAGGGACTCGTAACATGTTAGCATCTTCTTCATCCTCTTGTTGGATCCATAGGGTTTATCCACAAAAATATTTGTGTTGGGTATATTTGCTGCAGTATTTACTCACTGACTGCTTTAAAATTGACTGGTAAAACCAATTGTTTTGAAGACATGACTGCAACTTGAGATAAAAATAATAGGAAATATGATCAACAGTACTGTGGGTGAGGATGTGAGGTATATTTTAGAACCATCATATTAAGACTCTCGATCATACATTATCTTTTTTATCTGGTTGCATGTTTGTACGCGTATTATCTCAATTGGAATCTTTTATAATGTGTTGTAGCACTTTCTAAATACACGTGGAAATTGTTTGCTACGAAGCATTCGGCATCTATCAAAAGAGTTGAATCTTGCTTTGGACGTGGAGCCAAATGCACAAACTCCTACGCCAAGAAAGGTTTTCACTGTACCAAACAATAAGAGGTTATTGCCAGCAAGGTTTGAAGCTTGGAGAATGTGGCAAGAAGATGGTCATACATTCCATAAAATTGCCGTATGTCTTAATATAGTTGCTTGTCATTTAAGTTATGCCTAGTTTTTAGCATGGACTTTTGTTTTACTTTCTTCTTTGTAGAATTTCCCTGGTCGAGCAGCTCCAATTAAAGAACAAACTGTAATTGGGTATGTTCTTGAAGCTGCAAGAGAGGGACGTACAATCGCTTGGACAAGATTCTGTGAGGAGATTGGATTAACACAGCAGATATTTTCGGATATTCAGGATGTTGTGTCAAAAGTTGGCAAAGAGAAGCTAAAGCCTATCAAAACTGAATTACCGGAAGAAGTAAGCTTTATGGATTGAATATTTTGGCGGGATGCATTCAGAACTAAACCTTTGATTAAGCATTGACATAATCATATCATGTTTAGTAAGGTGGATTAACTTTACTATTAAAGAAGAAGAATAAGTTAAAATACAGTCACCAAAATTCGCTGAATATTAATGTTGTGGATAGTGCATCCTATCATATAACAAATGAAATGAACTTTCCATGTGTTTCTTGTGATGATATTATGATAATTCTGTTTATCAAACTAGGTAACTTATAGCCAGATCAAGTCCTGCTTGGTGATGCAAGAGATGGGAATGTCGACTGAAGTTATATCATCTGGACATCATCACGAATGCGGAGTAGAGGGTCAAGCCAGTGGTGAATCACTTGTGGACAATGTAAATGGTGGTAGTTCACAGGGGAAATCTGAAGACACAGTTTCTGATATCCTCGTAGGGATTGCAAACACAGCACAGTCAGTATGTGGTACTGATGGTTCATTTAACTATAGGAAACGTCAAAAAATTGATGGGCCACAAGCTGGATAATCTGCTGCAGTCGAGGCAACAGAGAGTTCCATATTACGCTGGGTCGATAATTTTGATGATGGGTAAGTGTTGAACCTCTACAATCAGTATATCGTAACCACATTTCTATATTCTTCATCGAGAGGGTAACAGCGAAAATGTGCAGGTTTCATTATCTGGACTCTTGGAACACTTCAGTGGATCAAAGGAAGAGGCAATAGTAGATCTGCTAAACAATCTGGAGGTTGAGTTTTCAATTTTTAGAAAGAAAAATCAGTATAGACTTGTGTAACATGCTGGATGGACGGGCTTCTTCTGCAAACCACTCTATTTATGGAAACTCTGTTCTATTCCAAGTCTGCAGGTACAATAATTAAATTTATTGTGTGTTTCGTTGTAAAATCCAAATTTTATTTTAACAATGAAACACACAATAATTTTGAATTGTTCAAATGATGAAAATAGTTTAAAATATGTTAAAATTAAATTAAACTATTATGTAATGGGATAACTATTAAAATAGTTTGTTCACTTATCATTTTTACGCGATTCTTGCACTTGTGGTAAACATTTTTTAACGAACAATAGTTCACATAATTTTTATAAGTTTAGTGGTCAAAATTCGTTCACTTTAAAGTTCAATGAGTAATCGAAAATAATTTTTACAAGTTTAGTGAGCAATTGAAGATGTTTCCAAAGTTTAGTAGCAATGAGAGACATTTCAAACTTTTAGTGCCCAAAATTTTGCCATCTCAAAATTCAGTGTACAATCGAAGACTTTTTTCATTGTTTAGTGTGCAGTGAAAAGATTTTCATCTTTGGACTGCTGGAGATGGAGTTATTTTAATAGTTTGTACAAGTCTTTTTATTTCACTAATTACTACTATTCCAGATGTGTCATAGTACGTGATTATTTGGACTACAAAATAAAACCAGATTATAGAGTAAGATTTGATAAGTAATAGCCAACAAATTGGAATTCATTTATCAACAAATTTTTTTCTTCCATTTGAACTCATTTCAATAATTCTTTTAGTCGCTTTAATAGGTGCAATTGCTATAGCTCATCAATAATAAATCTTATATGGTAGTTTGTTAATGGCGTCACGGGTACATTTCGTTAGTCATGTCACTAATTTCTTTGAAGGTTTGAAACGGATGTTATGCAAGTAACACCCAACGTTTTGATAAATTTAGTAATCAAAACTTAATACTTCAAATTTAGTGAGCAATCGAAAACATAAACATAAATTCAATAATCATTGGGACAATTAATATCACTCAATTCAAATTAATTTCAAACTTTTATGAGCTTAAACAAGTTCAGATGAAGTTTAGATGCAAAAAAAGGTAAAATAACTAGACGATAATGTCAAACTTTAAGCCTAACTAATCAAGATTTTTTTAGAAAAAATGGTCACAACTCACACGTGCTACAATTCTCTATTTTGGCCGTTCGACTATTACGAAGTCAAAATTTCTAATTTAATGACTCCATAGGGGAGTTAACTGTTTCAATAATCACCAAATTTATATTGAAAGTTCGAAGCATAATTTGTTGGCTGAAAATTGATTTGTGAAAATACTTTATCTATATTTCACTCATTTAACTTCTAATTTCATCCAATTAATAATATATGATATTCAATCATTATTTTGTATTTTGAATCAACTATGGATATTTCTACTCCAGTCCCCCAACTTCGAATTTCTTGCAATTTCGCCCTTTTCTCGCCCATTTTCTCCAATTCCATCAATTGTATGGATTTTTATCTAACAAACACAATACATATATCTAACAAATACTCTAATTTAAATATCTAAATAAGTATATAAAATGAACTTGTCACTAGAATTTTTTAGGACTAAAATTGGGGAAGCTTTATTGGATTTTAAAGAAGTTTATGGAGCGTGGTCCGCGTGAAAGTCACATTTCATATATGGTGATTTTTTTTACAATTGTAACTTATCACGTGGAGTTTTCGTATGATATATGAACGAAATATGATGAAAGATGGATGAAGTGCAACATCTCATTGGGAAGCATTTTAAAATTTGATGGGCAAATTGTGATCAAGTGTAAGTTGGATGAGTAATCAAATAATGATTTGATCGAGCTATAATTTTTTTAACGATCGCATCTTACCATTGATTTTCGTTAGCCACATCGGTAATAAATTTTTAGGATAATGATGGTTGTACATCAAAATTTGTATATTAAGGGTTACACCCCTCACATGAGGGGTGAGATTCACTGAAATAATATTTTTTATTTGAGTGGACTCCACCTCATGTGAGGGGGTTTAACCCCCGATGTTACGCTTGATGTACTACTAGCATGATCGAAATTTTTAAGTGGTAGATGTAAGTGCAAACGGGCAAAAACCATCGTATAAGTTGAGCCTGGAAACAATTGACTCCTCCGTGGGCCACCCGATTAAAACCTACCGTCCAAAGAGTCGAAACATATCCATCGTCTACAACTCTTTTCAACACTGGAAGAACACCGGAGCCTAGAAAACCGTGCTCTCTACAGCGCCATAGAAATTTGAGGTATAGTCAATTATGCCCAACTTACTGAGATATGCTGCTTAAATTTCGAGGCAACTGGATTGCAAATACTGCGTTCAATTTGTATTAACTGGTTTCAGAAGGATATGTATTTCAAGATTTTTCTTGTGAGATTGACTTGAAATCTTTATTTCTTGTTATATGTTCTTTTGAGTAGTAGAGAGAATCTGTATGATGCTGATGCAAATTGTGCGTTTTGTAACCTAATTTATCGTCATTTCTTTAATAGTGCAGCAGTTGGATTAAAAATATGTCTTGGTGCACCATTGAGTCGGATCCTGGTATGTTTTGTTTTGGCATTTATTATTTAAATTTTGTTTGAGCCTGTTTCTCGATATTGGATATTAATGGGTAATTTTTGTTATTCGGAAAAATCGTTCTAGCACACAGTTTAGATAAGGGGTTGTTTAGTGAGGCTGCTGGAGGCATGAGGTTAATTTTTTTAGCCTCCAACAGCCAGTTTGAGTGTCTAGTTATGAAAAGTTAGTTGACACTGATAATAAATTTGATGTCAACAGTCAATTTTTGGAATACCTTACTGCTTCTTCTGTTTCTATTTTGGCCAGAATGAACGTATCTATTACACTACATACGCAAATGCTTGTAACCATTTGAACTCATTTTTCTCTGTCTGTTTTTGCATTATTGCAGTTGCATTATTCCAGAAACTCCGTTCCTTGCTTTCTCTCTCATGAGTCTCAACCATGTTCCTCATTTTAATAAACTCACATAACACAATTAACAAAAAAGATATCCACAAGGTTCCCATTAAAGCGTATATTAGTTTTTGGCTTGTGAAGTTATGTGTATGGTAGAGTAATTGATTTTGGATACTCAACGCGATAGCTACAACACTACACAGGAATAATGAATTATGAGCTGAAATACATTTCCTTGATATCAAATGTTATTGTATTTGCGATAAATTGCCAATAGATGAACACATGTATTTTTAGAGATTTTATTTTAACCTAATGAATTGTATGCATAGTGCATACCCTCTTTTAAATTTGTGTGTTTTTTTTAATCTCAATTTGATTTTTCTAGATTACTTATCCTTTTAAGGGACGAGAATTGGACACTGGGGAAGGGGGAGGGAGAGGGTTGAGGCTGAACGTGGGAGATGGGCGTCGACAGTGGTTTTGTGAAAGTTCAATTTTTCATTTTTTCTACATTTTAAATTTTTCTCTTCTTTTTTTTGCTTACTATAAATTGATTTTATAAGTTTCAATTTTTTGAATATTCATGGTCATGTGAGAGATGCATGATACTATGAAAATATTGGACACAATTGGTCTCTGGGGACCAACTGGCTTCAAATTTTAAGTTGGGATCTGTTTGTCATGAGAAATTTAATGGAACATAAATGCAAATTTATTTTGTAGGTTGAGAAAAAAATCAGTTTGTTGGATAAAATAAGGTTATTTGTTGGATAAAATAAGGTTATTTACTTGGTACTGATAATTTCGGAGTACAACTACCAACATTTTACCCTGACACTATTTTAAACCTTTAAGCAACCGCTAGCAAAAAATTGCGACCGTCATAACCAACAGCAATATCAAGTATCCAGTCACTAAGCCAAACGAGGATTCTGATATTTGTTTTTCTCTTTTCACCTCAAGCCAAGTTGGCAGGTCCGAGTTTCTATGAGACTCGTTGAGACCAGTGAGCTGACATTATAACTCAGGAACAAGACTAATTTTTTGCAGTTCCTTGTAGCTTAGTGACTTCAAGTTGCTGGATCTTCTTTAGCCACCTTGAGAAACGGAAAGGGGTTCTGAAATTTTTGTTGGTTAGTTGGTAGCCTCTAAGAGTAGATTAAAATCAAGCTTTACTATACTCACAAATGGCACATGTGAGATGCAACTTGAGGCGGAAACCTAAAAAGTTTTTCTAAACCTTGTAGGAAGTAAATCAATAATATCGCGCTCAAGTCAATCATGAAAAGTATATTTTTTACCCTTCTCTGTACTTAGAAGTCCCTCTTCTTGTTGGTAATGGAGTTCTCAAACCTGCAGTTAGTTTTCGAGTTCCACTCCTGGATCTATCTGTAGCACTTATTGGCGTTGTACCGCTGACTCATCAGTGCCCTTAAGATGTAAATCATCATGATGCCACCACCTTTTTAAGTTGTTCTGCACTTTTTACATTTCTTTAGCTTCTTTTTCAAGATTTTAGAATTTTGGTTTCTCCATATAGTATGTTCTTGCATTTCTCTGTAATGGCTTAGATACAATGGGATTTCTTTGCGATGGGGTCTAAACTTTTCGTATTATTCTGCTTGTGCTGCAGGTGTTTTCACTGAACTCATACAGCAGATGCAAGTTAAAGGCGTGCAGGTATATAGAGATTCCTAGTGTGTTATGGTTTCTTGCATGGGTTATCTTTTTTGTTTTTTTCCCTTGGTGGTGGGGGGTCAGGTGATTTATAAGTTTATGAATTGTGGTTTCCTCATTTCCACTTTCCCCAATTTTAGTTATATAACCATTGATATAAAATAGAACCGGGTGAAACTTGTACACATTGTATGCTTGCAGTAAAATTGGTATCTAACAAACTGGTAATTGTATGATTTTCCAAATTTGATAAACCGGCAATTTGGAGAAATTATAAATATTCTAATCCATACCTTTCCTCTCCTTGATCATTATGAAGCAAGAATATTGAGAGAAAAATAAGTAGTACAAAAATGAACTATTCTACAGTAAGAGTGGTACGCTCCCTTTTCCTTAGCCGCAGTTTAAATTGCAAAAATGCTTCATTATAAAGTAATTTCAGTAGCATCAATGAAGAATGGTGAAATTTATTGATGAAGTAATCTAAGAAGAGTTGCCTTAGCATACCACATTGTTTGCTGGTAACAAATCACAGTCACATTGTTAATTCAAAATTTCAAATCATAGCAATTTGCTAAGATAACATTTGGTCATAATTATCATTTATATTGATTAGCTTGATTTAGTTAGTGTTGACTTCATGATTTGAAATTTGTATGACCAATCATCAATCAACTTCGAAAGAAAAATGAAGGTTTCCATTATAAAGTAGTTCTAAATGTCTTGAACCCAATATATATGAATTATTCGAAATTTCTATTTAATTACGTCAGTTCCTGTTTTAGAGTAATTAAATTAATAACCAAGAAAAATAACTACCTTAATTTTTAATATATATTATTTAAATGATCAAGATAATTTGTTGCAATTTTATTAGATTTTCATTAAGTATCCTTTTATATATGTATATATAATTTCATGAGATTTCTTTATTTTCACACGTAAATACCATAGAAAATATAAATTAAATATTTTAAATGCCAAAGAGACTAAGAGAGGTTGGATTTGCTCGCTCTCTCTCTCTCTCTCAAAATTTTACAATCAAGGGGAACAGGGTTAGGCAATTTACAGGACAAGCATAGAGAAAAGAGATGAAAGAATTCTACATAGATGGCTAGAGGAATTTGGTGCCTTATGTTACACCAGGGAATAATCTTGGAACCAGTCTGAGCATGGTATGGCATGTTGATAGTTGAGTTATTCTGAAGCAAGATGCAGATAAGAAGTTCCTCAGTTTGAGTCAATAATGTTATCTAAAGAAGATATAAAGCTCTATTATCGTCTCCCTCTTATTCTGTTATTTTTTTTATTTTTTCTTTTCCCTTTTTGTTGTGTGTGCGGCCACATTGGGGTTTCAGCAGTAGGGTGATTGGGAATGATACGTATGGAGTATTTTTGTTGGCTGCCTTTTCCTCTATAGTTCTCCTTTGGTATTGTTTCCAGTGAAAGATCACGCTTCTCATTCCGTTTTGTGGTGCGCAAGCAGGTTGAGGAGTTGTATTCACTGGATGTTGATTCTTTAAACAATTTAAGGTAAATCTATTAGTACACCTCCTGTTGTCTAATTTATTGGCACTTGCTTACATGTCTCTGAAATTTCGTCTTCTTTCTATTTTCCAATTTACAGACCTATATATGGCCTAATATTTCTTTTCAAATGGCGTCCCGGTGAAAAGGATGACCGACTCGTGATTAAGGATCCAAACCCGAACTTGTTTTTTGCCAGCCAGGTCAGTTTCCGTGCAACAGTTCAATTATATCTGCGGGGGGAAATAGATACCACTCTGAATGGCTGAACTACTGTAATCTTACAATTAATTATAATTACAGGTTATCAATAATGCATGTGCAACGCAAGCAATCTTGTCTATTCTGATGAACTGTCCAGATGTCGACATTGGCCCGGAGCTGTCAGCACTGAAAGAATTTACCAAAAACTTTCCACCTGAGCTTAAAGGTTTGGCTATCAATAACAGTGAAGCAATTCGCACGGCACATAATAGCTTTGCAAGACCCGAGCCGTTTGTACCTGAAGAGCAGAAATCTGCAGGGAAAGACGATGATATCTATCATTTTATAAGCTATATTCCAGTTGATGGTGTACTATATGAGCTTGACGGATTGAAGGAGGGACCAATCAGTCTTGGGCAGTGCCCGGATGGGCAAGATGATATGGGATGGTTACAAATGGTACAGCCCGTGATTCAAGAACGCATCGAGAGGTATTCCCAAAATGAAATACGGTTCAACCTAATGGCAATTATAAAGAACAGGAAAGAGATGTATACAGCCGAGCTCAAGGATCTCCAGAGGAAGAGGGAAAGAATCCTCCAGCAACTGGCGGCCTTCCAGTCAGAGAGGCTGGTCGATAGCAGTAATGTGGAAGCGCTGAACCAAACTCTTTCAGAAATCAATGCCGGGATCGAGGCTGCTACTGAGAAAATCTTGATCGAGGAAGAAAAATTCAAGAAATGGAGAACAGATAATATCCGTCGGAAACACAATTACATTCCGTTTTTGTTCAATTTTCTGAAGATCCTTGCTGAGAAAAAACAGTTGAGACCCCTCATAGAAAAGGCCAAACAAAAAACAACCAAACCCTAGGTGAATCTGTCCACTTCTTAAATGAAATGTTGTTTTGCGAATTTAGAAAATGCTTGCATTTGTTTATCTTTATTATTGTATCACACCCATATGTTCTTGGTATTTCTCTTTGGTTGAAGATTACAATCATGCAATTTTTGTGTAAACCGTTAATTCCTTTGGGGTGAAGTATTTTGGTATTTTATCTTGTATGGAGCCATCATTTTTAATGGAAGGAGAAAGTCTTGTGTATAGGGTTTTCTTGCCAGATTCTTTACCTGTGTTGTGTTGACAGCACCCGTGTGATTGATTTTTTTTGCCATTGCCCAATGACAAAGACATCACGTCCGCCGTGTGGATTCTGGCAAGAAAACCCTGTACACCAAGCATAGTTCTCAATGAAAATATATATTTGCCAATTGTGATAATGGACCAGAACAATGCCACACGTACAAAGTCAATGGGCCATGTAACCTTATGGGGGGATAGGTGTCTCCCTACCATAGGTGGAGAGAGAAAAAAAAGGGTCCCCTATAGGAGTACAGCTAGAATCACACAATGACAATGAAGTCATTGTCACAATATCCAATAAATAAAAAATATTTAATAAAGTCGATATGTATATTATTTTATTGTACAACATATAGTTATTCGGGGTGGACATGGGTGCAACAAAAAATTCTTTTGTACTGACATAAAAATAATTTTCTTAACTAAAGGTCACCACGTTACTCAATTTTTTAAGCATCGGGATTTGGGAACATCGGTTCATAGGGATTTTCCCGATCAATATTTTTACTTCATTTTTCGTTTTCTATGGATGTAGGAATATGAACAAAATATTTTTCTGTCAAAAATTATCATCATAACATAATCAATTTTGCAGTATTGCTGTTAAAATCAAACTTACAACAAGTGATCTCATTAGTGCTTTGAAATGTTACTTTATGCATTAAAATTTTTGAATGAAATTTCCCATTTTTTACTTTAGATTAGGAAAAAACAAGTACGATGAAAATATGTTGTCAGTCGGTAATCTCTTTCTTGGGAGCTAAAAGGCGAGTAGTAAAAATGTCTTCTTATCATCGAACCTGTACTCTTTTTCTTTAGTCATTTCGATTTTGCTTTCGATTCAAGCTTTAAGGAGGAAACCCAAGAAATTATCTTTCACGCCCTCGACAACTTGAGGTGATTTGGTATCGGATTTTCCTTTTTCTTTTCCAGTTTTGTTCCTTTTTCATATATTTTTCTTTTCCAGTTTCTTGGCTGTAAGCTTGAAGCTTTCAATTGTTCCTGTAATTAACTTTTGGTCGATTATTCTTTGTCTAGCCACTTGCTTTCTGAAATTTTCTCTCGTTTTTATTGAATTGTGTTGGATTTCATGTTGTTTGGTCATGTTTGTGTAACGGGTAAACTAACATAAAGGGCTTCAGCTACTCTTCTTCACTAGATTGACCTTTTAAATGGAACTTGATGCTCAATAATTGGTGAATATATAAAACAAATTCGTATTGGGAAAAGATGACTTGAATTTATTCGGTGAAATGTGTGGTAGGCAGAGAATATAAGTAATCTGATGACATCGATTGTAACATTATACGAGATTTATGTCCACAAAGTTTTCAGTTTGTTGATGGTCGGCAAGGTAATGGTTATTGTCATGCCAACTTATTGATCAAATATTAATTTTCTGTTTCTTGAGTCAGTCTTTGATGCTCTTTTTTTTGGCTTTTCTTTTAGAATGCTAACTACTATGCGAGTCAAGTTCAAATTTTAGGCTCTTGTTTTAATTTGATTCATTCCTACAAATCCACAAAATGGTGAACCGTGCATATTTGTTAATTTTCCATTTGCAGATTGATTTTTTCCTGCCTCTTCCACTCATGATAGATGGCTCATTCTATTTTAAGATCGTTCGTGAGATTCCCGAGTAGCAGTGGTTGCAGTTTTACAAAGTCTGCTGCTATCTCATGGTGTTATTACTACAGTTTTTATTGAAATTATTCAGTCTACCTTTTTGTAAGAAATGCAAAACTAAGAGAGTGATCGTATGCGTAATGCTAAGTTTACATTCTTAACTAATTCCAGTTCCAGTTCTTTAAGTAGTAATACCAGTACTTGTGAGACTGATTGTGTCAGAGAGTATCTGATGAGCAACCAATAAATCAGTGTGAGATGGATACTTTCAAGGCATCATGGCCGGGAGGACAACACCGTAACAAGCGTGAGTCTACAGTGCATCTGAAGCACCTCCCTACCGGTATTATTGCTCAGGTTCATACAAATATCCTAGAATCTTGATTCCGTGTTTTGTCATGGTGTATACGTGTTTATAAATTACAATCAGACAGGCCGTGGAGGATAGGTCACAACACAAAAATCATGCTTCAGCCATTACTCGTTTGCGTACGCATTTAGCTCTTAAAGGTATGCAGTTAGTACATTTTCAGCTCTCAATCTGCTACCTTCTGTCAATTTTCAACTTTATTTTACATGCAAGGAGAATCAATGCAACTTTCACTTGAAGTAGTTTCAAATTTTCTTCAAGCTAAAGCCTAAAATGGGATTTTTCTTTTAAGCTAGTGAGGAATACCATGGATCTTGATCCATATATACCTCCTCTCGAACTTGTGCAAATTCTTCCTGCAAAATCAACTATAAGAGGATCATACCATGGCCCTCAGATTGAACCAAATAACCTGAAATTTGTTATGGTCTGCCTTCTTATCCTTTCTAGCACTTCTTTTATTCGATTGAAGAATACTAATTTTATGCTGTTCTACACAATCCTGTTGGTTATGCAGGAATGGAGGCTTTACTCGACCTAATTTTTGCAGTCGAGGCCTCTCTGGCAGATGCTTCAAAGAAGTTAGGGTACATTGAGTTCCTAATCAGATGTTATTCTCACTTGCTAATGGTAAAGCCAAGCTCTTCTAGCACAATATACACCTTTTGACTACCATTTTACAGGTTGAGTACTGGGGCTTTATCACGGTTGATTTTATCTGATGATTCTCTTCGAATGGCGGTGAATGAATTAAGGGCTACTAAGGTAAAACTAAGCACTCAACATCTAGTCATTTACTTTTGACGATTCATTGGCACTGGAGTGTGAATAGTTTTGGGTCTCCTTTATATAATTATTTCTTTCATCTTAATTTCTCGTTCTGATGTTCTCTTTAATACTCGGGGATTCCTTGTCCCTGGAACTTTTATTGTCTATGGAAAAAAAACTGGTCATAGTTTCTGGCAATTTTGTGTATAGAGTGACGATTTAATGCATGGATTCCTTCGTATTTAAGTAATTGTCGTTCTGTAAGACCATAGTGACAACGCAATTTTTGTTTTTCTTCTAGACTAATACGATATTGAGATTTTTTTCCGGTCAGCCATACGGTGGTGAATTTGTTCCCAGGCCTTGTACACACCGCCCGTCACACTATGGGAGCTGGCCATGCTCGAAGTCGTTACCTTAACCGCAAGGAGGGGGATGCCGAAGGTAGGGCTAGTCATGAATATTCTACCATAGCGGGTATTCAAGAATCGTACAGTGTGGAAAAATATGTTTGGCATAACACTAACTAAAGCATCAAATATATAAAATACCAAATGTCATTCCACTGAAATCAATAAAGAAAAATGAGCATAGAAGGAACTGCTTGAAAAAGATTTTTTCTAAGACAAACATGTGAATCCAAAAGAAGAATAGAATCATATCATAGAAACAATGACTTTAACAATGACCCCAAGCATGGATTGATGAAGTTCAGTATTTTGGGACTGATTCGAAAAATATTTTTGAGCACGTTTGACTATGTTCAATGAATGTACCTTTGTTAACGACGAAAAACTTGCTCTTTAAAGAAGTGATCCAAGATTTCAACTAAATGAGGATGTGATGACTGATGGTGGCTCAGCTTGGTATGTTCCATGTTCATATTTTTGTTTTGATCGAGTGATGTATCGATTTGTAACTTTAGTGTATGGTAATTAAAGAAAGCAGATAACTAGGCTTATGGAAATTGCAACTTTCTGAAAAAATTCTGCAGGGTATGAAGCCTCTTAAATAGGAATTGCTGGTAGCAATCAAATGTTTCAGGTACTATTTGCTTTAAAAATGTTATTTCCTATTCTTAATGATCATTCATTTGCGTTCTGTTACTATTTCATGTATTCTTAAAATGTCAAATAGCGGCTGCTTTTTATATCAGGGCTACTGACCATTCCGTTTAAATTTAGGGTTTCAGCAATTGAATCTGCAACATTTGAAATTTAAAATACTGCACAAAGACACTTGTTTAAGATGTTTTACTTTTATCTTCAAATTCGGGTTGGTTGATGAAGTATAATACAAATTATCTACTTATGGTTGTACTGAGATAGATTTCAAATGTCTGGTTGTTGAGAAAATGTTGATGACATGTATTATTTGGAATTGATGCTTTACTCAAATCGAAATATCATAATTATAAGTGATCTATTTCCTAGAATTCGTTGGTGCTTCTATCCTTACATTGAGGCTAAGTTTCGTGAAGATACGTGTTCTTCAAATGCTTACAAGACTTGAGTTGTGTATCTATAAGAACGTGTTTTTTTATATGTATGCATGCATTGAAGTTATTGTTGGTCACACTAAAAACACTTGTTTGATACCTGCCGGAAGTTGAAACGAATTTCCTCGCACGCAGGGAAGTTGGAAGAAGCACATTAGATATTTACGAGGGTTTTAGGAATGCAACTAAGATGGAAATAGGTTAAAACATTTTCTAGTTGGGTTCCATCTCTTGTTGACTAGCAACTACCTTTTTCTATTTGATAAATACTGTACAGCATAATGAATTTGACATGACATTGAGCATGGTGGCATTGATTTAAATGAAACAGGGATTATTCATTTTGTTAAGTATTGTATTCTTCATAATCCCTGTTTGAACCCAAACCAAATTGAACAATTGATGTACAACATGGTTAAACTCTTGCAACCCTAAAAGCACGCAAATGCGTCCCATGGCTTTTCCTCATTTACATAATACCCTGGACAAAGCAGCAATAGATATGCTACATAGTTAAGGCAACTTTTTATTAATGCAACCATAATAAAATTATAGTTTTCTGTAATATAATAAAAGCTACAGTTTTGCAGTAGAATCTAGTAAATCTTTCCAAATTGCAAAATCAACTACAAGTGATTCTAAATATGTAGCAGAGCTGGTACTGCCCACAAATAATGTCGCTTGGAAAAAAAAAAGCACAAAAAACCGATTCTTTCTTACTCTCATCACAAGTGGAGACAAATCCCCTCGTAATGATGCTCTTCCAACAATAAGCTTTATCTCGAAAATATGGAATGATTAGGTGTCCTATTTTATTCTCCCACTGTCAGCCCAAACCCAAACTTGTAATCATTCTTCCGATGATCTATCTGCAGGACATAATTGTTGTACGCAAAACAAAAGATTATGAGAACTTGATATCAGAAAAATAAACACACTCTTCAGGCTCATGACACTATCATCTACAGTGTAAGGGGGATCAAGCAACTCCCTCTCAGATAAATAACCTACAAATGTGAGGTAGCATGTACTTTCTGCACATAGCCTAATTATCTAAAGGAACCAGTATTACTTCTGGACTATTGGAATGGCAGGAATTGACCTATTCATAAAAGGATGCAGAAGTGCAGAGAGAGCAAAGGAAAGGATTGGTTGTACAAAGACACCCCTTTTCTTCTTAAGGTAAGATAAAGGGACAGGTATGCGAACGCTGGCAACCATGTTCCCCGCCTCCAATTGATGACTGCCTATTATACAAGTGTTCACTTCCCCTTTTTGGAAAAGAAAAAGGGATAAAAGGGGATACAGTTTTCTTCAGTGCTATGATTAAAATAAAACAGTATCTTTTAATGAGTTGATCCTTACCTCAGCAGAAAGAATAAAATTAAGACCCATGTTTAATCTCTCTTCCAGAAGAGCAGCCACACAGCCATTAGAATCAATCTTTCCTCTTAGACGACACTGTCAGATAAATGAGAAAAGTCGATCATATATGAGGACTCAGACTAAGTTTATATCAAAGAACTGTTCTAGACAATTAGGATTGATAAATTTCAAATGCATCTGATGAAACGACGTCAAGTAGTATGGAAGCAATTGAATCTCCTTACGGAAAATCATGTCCACGTACATAACGAGGTAATAATATTTTCCGACCACAATGAAATGCATGGATGAAGATGATCTTACTTGTACAAAAGGATAGGGTATTAATAAATACGCTTACAGATAAAAATAATCCATCAGAATGGAAGATTCCAAGAGTTCTAACAACAATAAACACAGTGGAGATTAACTTTCACATTTTTACATTTGACTATGTCATATGCAATTGGACGAGAATTCTTATCAAATTACATCAACACTCTATTTTACATTATCTGTTGGACGAGAATTCTTATCAAATTACATCAATGCTCTATTTTACATTATCTGACCATATTACTGGCTCATTGACAACATGTCAGATCACAATAACTAAAGATGAGTGATGATAAACTGAATAAAAGGTATGAAACTCCATAAAACATGCGGATTGGAAGTTACCTGCCGAAGGATGTAATCATAACCAAAGCTAGCTGTAACATCTCTAGACATGTAGTTGTACATGAAGTCTGAAGCTAGAGAAACCTACATGAAGAGACCAACCCAAGAACCTATAAGAGACAAAAATGGAAATTACAAGTACCAAACTACATAATATCTTACAAACTGCTAATGTTTCACCTTTTCAGATACTTTCTGAACATAGCTTAGAGCAACCATCCCAGTGCTAGCAACTTGTCCAGTTGCCACCTGCAAGTCAAACAACAAATACAATTACACGTCAAAAACTGTTCAACTAGGGAGAAACAAAAACATGCGCATCAAAATTGAAATTTTTCAATGGTAAGAAAAAAATCCAAGCAGACACTTTTTCCCCTTTGAATGTGCAACTAAAAGGAAAATGAAAACTATATTTGCAACAAAAGAGAATACCAACTAATTGAGATTAGGTATAAACATCAAGTGAATTCATTAAATATATAAGATAAAGGTGAATCAAATTTAGGGCAAAATTGTACCATCTTGTCTGTGTTATAGCGGGCAGCATATCCAATGCCAGACTTTCGATGTTGACCAGCCCAGAAGACCTCACCACCCAATGACAAGTGAGGGCTCACACTCTGCAAGTGTACAACAATTACATTAAGATGACCGAACAACCTTCTATTTATCAAATACAAAAGCTCCACCATTATTCAAAACTACTGGAATAAAACAAATGAGTGACATGCAGAGATGGTTTGTCACAAGTGGCAAATCTCATAAAAAGTTGCTTAGCTAACAAAATAAGACAGAAAGCAAACCTACAAAATAATTGTGATTAAAAATAAAATCTGAAGATAACAATACATACATATTGATAAACAACATTACCCAGGGTACAAATATAGCATTTGATCATAAGTGTCAACAAATATTTAGCACGATAATGAAGTTACTACCAATAACAAACTTTCTTCTCTACATTCAATTAGTAATGTATGAAACAGCAGCGTTTCATGACAAGCTCACAACACTATTTACGTTTGAAAAATCAGGTTCCGGTCCCTTGATCGAGGAGACAAGCCAGTGCGTATAACACTGTAGAATTCCTGCAGCACTTCACAATTTTCAACCAAGTTGCTCTAATACTATGCATTACAACCCCGAGATCGTTGGAATTCACTTATTTCTCTCAAAGCATGGTGAGTTTCATAAAACAGGCTTCCATAGTCCTGGAATATGGCATCAATCCTAGTGGACTAGAGGGAAAGGAACCCAGTATGCTTATGCAAACATGTCTGCTTCAACTGAATGCTCAGTGCCATTCAATCTCTCAAAAAAACTTCATTCACACGGTAGGTCATAGAGGTCTCTAAATTGTATTTATAAACACTGAAAAGCTAATAAACTACATATTTCCATAAATAGAATCTCCAGATTTCTAGTGCAATTACAAGTAATCGAAAATGAAACTTTGAAAATAAGTTTGAGATCATTACCTGGATGTAACTTGCACCAAATAAGGCTCCATTTCCTAATTGAAGTTGAGTCCTATAATCTGATCCCTGTACATAAGTTAAAAAGGGAACACAATTAGCTCCTAACTTGTCACTCAAAATATTACACTGGCACCAGTTGTTGGCCACTATATGTGGTGTATGATGTTGCATGCCATCTGGACATACCCATATAGAAGTGCATTACTTTATATGTAGATACAAGGTTGCACAATAAATACATAAATTTCTGAAATGCATCCAAACAACCACTTGCTATAACTTTTGAAGAAGTTAAAAAACTAACCTTATAATCAAAATTGACCATGCCATGCGACATATGTGGCTCGTGCGTAAGCTACAGAAAAAAAGAACACTTATCACCAGCTTTTAAACAATTGTAATGGGAAAAGGATCATTGAGTAATTGACAAATAGATTGTACTTGAGCATTGCCCTTCATGGTAAGATTCTCGGACAAATCACACTTCAATCTTGCATTCACTCTTCCATCTGTCAATACCCTCCCAAAAAGCATCAACTGCCAAAGAAAAAGCCCCATGTATTAATAAAGCCACATGTTTCAGTAAATGCAAATGAATAGTTTAAGGGAAAACATAAAAACCTTTGGGTCTATGAAGTTAGCGCCAAACTCATAGTGAGCAGTGGGAATTTTAATTGTTTCAGATGACTGAGAAGGAATTTCTGTAGGGCCCATCATCACACTGATGAACAGTCAAAAGGCATGTCCGATAATCATTAAAATAAGGATAAGGAGACCCCACCCAAAAAGAATTAGAATAAAGAACTCGAGTACAGGTAAAAAGGATAATATAGTAGCAGGAAAAATACCTGTGACTCAATGAAAATTTCTGATTGAGCCCTTTAGTAAAATCAAAGCGCATCCCTTCAAAGAGTTCTGGCTTGAGAGACACTGCCAATTACATCCAAGACAATTAGCATTTCACCAGTGGAATCTAAATGAATCAAAATTCAAACTATTCATTTAAATTGTTAGCAGTCTGATAACTTTTGAAACACAAGAAATAGTTCATTATAAATTAAGGGTTTCCAGATTAGCGAGTTCTGAAAGGTAGAAGGTTAATATATGATGAGACCTAAGTTATAAAGCTATCGCTGTACTTTTAATTCCTCTGACAGGATGACAATTTGATTAGCATTTCTTCATTTGTGTATCAAAAACTAAAGTATATCCATATTCAGTTCTTCCTGGCATTTTCAGTATCCTCTATAATAGGAATTTCACCAGCATAAGCATAGTTTAAGGAAAATTGAGTAAACATCACATTCACGTTCGCAAGGAACATACAGAACCATTCACTGATGCTTCTATAAAATCAATGCAGTGGCATTAATAACCTTTATATACCTATCAAGTATCAACCTCTCTTGGTTATGAAAGGAAAGTTCATATTTAAAATATTATATTGAGATCCAGAAGATGGTACTGGTAAATTCCCAAGCCCATCCTATCATATTCACAGAGCCCATGTGCCAAGAGCAACAACTTATGTTGTGTTTAGAAGACGTATGCATTAAATGTCAGCTCACTTACAAGTGGAGCCCAACTCATTACAGGTCCTTGAGGCAAATAATCTCTCTAGAAAAACAATCTTTTATGTAATTGAGAGTTAGACTTCTCTTTGGTTATTTAAGCAATTCATTCCTCCCTACAGCTTTACTCAGTATATTTTCAAGTTACCATTTATTCTTAGCTGCATGGAAAATACTTGGTTCATTAGCAGAAGAAAAAGATGCGACTCCATTATACCTTATTTATTTCTACGAGGAAGTGTTTTACGTTTACCCAGGGTTCTCCTTTCGAGCCCAACCGATAAAAATGTTTTCCCTAGTATTTTCTCACTGTAATACATGATTCCAACTAAGCCCATGGACAAGAATGAAATGAATCATTACACAGGCTTGACATTCCAATTAGTTATGATTTAATGCAAAGGGAGAATTAATCCAAACTAGCTATTATTCCTCGGCATCACTTAGAAACAATAAATCCAGAACGGGTGGGAAAGTCGCGAAAATAAAATCTAAAGCTGAGATAAAAAAAGACAGCATTTAAAATTAAGATTAAAAGAAAATGCACGAACTAAGAGCTTCGCGGTGAATCTCCTCATAGGGAATAGGACAAGGGAGGTTCATGTAATCGACTTTCTGCGGTTCAGCCGCCGCCGGACTAGAACCGGCCGCCGGTGAAGCTGTTGCAGTAGTAGGCGGATTGATAAGTGTAGCCATTAGGCCAACCTTTAAACTGCCACTGCCAGTAGAGGAGTAAAAGAAGAAGAAGAGTGATCACTCTTCCTCTTGAGCGGCTGTGTAGCAGTAGAGAGAGACGGAGGGCGAGTGCGAAAGAGAAAAACCCTTTGCCCCAATTACCAAAACCCCCCAAAACCCACCCGTCAGTGATTTGACCCGGCCCGTTTTCTGACACTGTCACGTGCCGCTTCTCGTGGTTGTTTGAATACGAGGATACAATAAACCGACGTGGAATAGATTGGAATCGTTGAAATATTATTTTTTCCTTCTCATCAAAAATTTAAAAATATTATTATTTGTATAAGCAACGACATATTATTTGTTCAATCATGTTACACGTACATCATCTTTTACGTCATTATTTATATTATGCCACATGACATCACAGTTTAAGAAAAAAATAATTTTCCTGCCTACGAGTTTTTGAAAACACGGGGATGTCAAAAACAAGATATCAAGTTTGGCCAATTTTTATTTATCATGTCACTTGTAAGAAGAGTTTAATTTTCTTAGTGTCGTAACTTTTTGTCGAAATGTAATTTTCAAAGCTTTCACACTATCCACCTTAACGGGAGAAGTGGTTTCACGAAAACAACACAAAACCTTTAGAAAAATTATACTTTCAACGCGTCAAACGTTGACCACGACAGTATTTTGGGTCAATGAGTATTCTATTGATTGATTTTGATTAAATAATTTATGGACCTTTCTTGGTGTACATAATTTTTGTATACAGGGGTGTCATTTTTCTCACATGTGATGGGACTCACATTTTCACCCTTCGTCCCATCCCATGTAAAGGAAAGTACACTTTTATGTACACCAAACATAATTCATAATTTATGAAGGATTATACTAATAGTACATTAAAAGATGTACCTAAAGGATTACACACTGACACCCATCACATGGGGTGAAATTCACTTAAATAAAAAAATATATTATGTAAGGGGTTCCCACCGCATGTGAGGGGGCCTTTGATACAGCAGGTACAACTAGCATGATCCATTTATAAATTGGTTACACATTTTTTTTATTTTTTTTACACAAAATAAATTTCACTTTAAAAAAGATTAAAGTGAAAGGGAAGTAGTGTTACCAAATTTGAAAATCGATAACTTTTAGGTCGCGTCGGAATTTTCGATTCTCAGTCTCGCAATCAAAGTTTCCTCTTCGGTTGAAAACCTCAACGGCACTGGTCATTCACTCTCCCTCTCTCTTTACTGGTTCATTTGTACTGTTGATGATTCTATGAATTTATTAATTTCTATTCAGTATTCTAGTTTATAATGATTTCCAATCATTTAGCTGGTGAATTCTGAATATTGGGGTGAATCGGACATCAATATGAACTGTTCGGCGTAGCTAAACTGTGCAGAGATATGTGGTAGTTCACTCTCGAGCTCGAGTTGGAATTGGGTCCAAATTATTGATTTATTACACAAAGCAGTTAAGTAGATGTTTAAGAGTTCAAATAATTGGAGTTTATCCAAGTCTAAAATTTACTGTTTTCCGATCTGATATGGTTGAACCTTATTAACGGTTGCTATCTTTGCACATTCTTCGTCTTTCTTAACAGTGCCCTTTTAGCACCATGTTTAACTCGCATTTCCACTTGCAAGTGGGGATTGCATGTGTGAAAAAAAGGGGAGCTTGTGTCGGATAGAAAAAGTATGAGTCCAAAATAGTCCAATGTCTGGAAATTTACTGATATAACTTACGCATATCTATTTTTCATAGGCCTGAATATTGAAGTATGTTTGAAAAATAAAAATAAAAAGCATTATTGTAAGGTTATAAACAAACTATTACTCGAGCTAGAATTCGTGTACATCTTAATAGACAAACCAAACAAATCCTGCTCGCTAACAACTCAGTCCTCTGCTATATTTTATTTGTTACTGGGAATCCAGCTCCCAGTCGTCTACCCTCTGTGTGGTCCACAATTTAGCACTGGTGTAGGGAATGATTTGCAGTACTTGTTCAATGCAAGCTATTGGAGAAAGCAATGAGAGCCACATTCTAAAACTAGACTAATTTTTTAATTTATACTTGCAGTTGGAGCATGAGATGGAATGTCTTGATTTGCATTTACACTTAATTTTGTTTGTTGGCATCATTCTTGTTGTTTATTGTTGATGACTGCATACAACACCAACAACAAACTAATCTTGGTTCCCAATAAATACTGATGAACTATATGCTTCACACAATATTATTAACTAATATAATAAAACATAATTATATGCTATTGTGAGGACTGAGTTTTGCCAACTGCTGAGTGTTTCTGACGCTGTGTAAATCTAAAATATGTATCAAAGCCAATTAACGACCGAGATTTTTAACAAAACCTATACAATGGAAACAGAAATATTAAAGAAGAAAGAAAAGAAGAATCAAAGCATGTAACATGTAAATCCCCTTTCGCTTCCTCAAGCCTCAAAGGAGCCCTTACTTTGACTTTTTGAGAAAGAATTTGCTCCTTTTTGATAAAATGTTCACTTTGAATCATTTATTTATTTAATCTATACTCCACTTTTAAACTCTGTTTATTTTCACTTTGCTTACCAAATCCGGTTGGAAATTTGACGGTGACGTAGTAGAGGAGTAAAAGAAGAAGAAGAGTGATCACTCTTCTTCTTGAGCGGCTGTGTAGCAGTAGAGAGAGGGAGGGCGAGTGCGAAAGAGAAAAACCCTTTGCCCCAATTACCAAAACCCCCCAAAACCCACCCGTCAGTGATTTGACCCGGCCCGTTTTCTGAGACACTGTCACGTGCCGCTTCTCGTGGTTGTTTGAATACGAGGATACAATAAACCGACGTGGAATAAATTGGAATCGTTGAAATATTATTTTTTCCTTCTCATTAAAAATTTAAAAATATTATTATTTGTATAAGCAACGACATATTATTTGTTCAATCATGTTACACGTACATCATCTTTGACGTCATTATTTATATTATGTCACATGACATCACAGTTTAAGAAAAAAATAATTTTCCCGCCTACAAGTTTTTGAAAACACGAGGATGTCACAAACAAGATATCAAGTTTGGTCAATTTTTATTTATCATGTCACTTGTAAGAAGAGTTTAATTTTCTTAGTGTCATAACTTTTTGTCGAAATGTAATTTTCAAAGCTTTCACACTATCCACCTTAACGGGAGAAGTGGTTTCACGAAAACAACACAAAACCTTTAGAAAAATTATACTTTTAACGCGTCAAACGTTGACCACGACAGTATTTTGGGTCAATGAGTATTCTATTGATTGATTTTGATTAAATAATTTATGGACCTTGCTTGACGTACATAATTTTTGTACACAAGGATGTCATTTCTCTCACATGTGTTGAGATTCACATTTTCACCCTTCGTCCCATCCCATGTAAAGGAAAGTACACTTTTATGTACACCAAACATAATTCATAATTTATGAAGGATTATACTAACAGTACATTAAAAGATGTAGCTAAAGGATTACATACTGACACCCTTCACATGGGTGAAATCCACTTAAATAAAAAAAAAATATTACGTAAGTGGTTCCCACCGCCTGTGAGGGGGACGGGGGCGTAACCCCTTTGATACAGCAGGTACAACTAGCATGTCCATTTATATAAATTGGTTACACATTTTTTTTATTGTTTTTTACACAAAATAAATTTCACTTTAAAAAAGATTAAAGTGAAAGGGAAGCAGTGTTACCAAATTTGAAAATCGATAACTTTTAGGTCGCGTCGGAATTTTCGATTCTCAGTCTCGCAATCAAAGTTTCCTCTTCGGTTGAAAACCTCAACGGCACTGGTCAGTCACACTCCCTCTCTCTTTACTGGTTCATTTGTACTGTTGATGATTCTATGAATTTATTAATTTCTATTCAGTATTCTAGTTTATAATGATTTCCAATCATTTAGCTGGTGAGTTCTGAATATTGGGGTGAATCGGACATCAATATGAACTGTTCGGCGTAGCTAAACTGTGCAGAGATATGTGGTAGTTCACTCTCGAGCTCGAGTTGGAATTGGATCCAAATTATTGATTTATTACACAAAGCAGTTGAGTAGATGTTTAAGAGTTCAAATAATTGGAGTTTATCCAAGTCTAAAATTTACTGTTTTCCGATCTGATATGGTTGAACCTTATTAACAGTTGCTATCTTTTCACATTCTTCTTCTTTCTTAACAGTGCCCTTTTAGCACCTTGTTTAACTCGCATTTCCACTTGCAAGTGGGGATTGCATATTTGCATGTGTGAAAGAAACGGGAGCTTGTGTCGGATAGAAAAAGTATGAGTCCAAAATAGTCCGTTTGGTGGCCGTTCCACTCAATTTCCCCAATATCAATTGTTTTTGCAATTGTCGCGTTAACGAGAAGCCCAATGTCTGGAAATTTACTGATATAACTTACGCATATCAATTTTTCATAGGCCTGAATATTTAAGTATGTTTGAAAAATAAAAATAAAAAGCATTATTGTAAGGTTATAAACAAACTATTACTCGAGTAGAATTTGTGTACATCTTAATAGACGAACCAAACAAATCCTGCTCGCTAACAACTCAGTCCTCTGCTATATTTTATTTGTTACTGGGAATCCAGCTCCGAGCCGTCTACCCCCTGTGTGGTCCACAATTTAGCACCGGTGTAGGGAATGATTTGCAGTACTTGTTCAATGCAAGCTATTGGAGAAAGCAATGAGAGCCACATTCTAAAACTAGACTAATTTTTTAATTTGTACTTGCAGTTGGAGCATGAGATGGAATGTCTTGATTTGCATTTACACTTAATTTTGTTTGTTGGCATCATTCTTGTTGTTTATTGTTGATGACTACATATAACACCAACAACAAACTAATCTTGGTTCCCAATAAATACTGATGAACTATATGCTTCACACAATATTATTAACTAATATAATAAAACATTTTTTTTTTTTGAAAGGCAATCAAGTATTTTATTAATTAAAGAATAGTACACAG